CAATGAATTCCCCTCCAGCAACCGCCGCTACCTGCCTCCACAGGTTCACCTTTCAATAATCAAAATGTTGTATTTCTTAAAAGTGGCATCTGGTATTCAAATGTGCAAGATTGAAGCTTGTGATATAAGTCTATGGGTGAAGTATTTCTTATGTTTAGCTCCCACTACAGTATAGTTTTCTTTCTGAGTGATCCAACTAATTCTCAGTTTGTCCTCTTTTGAAGGTCTCCTATAAGCCGACTCGTCATGTCAGTTTTCACATGGATGAAGAAGAGATTGTTCGCATCAATCCACGCAAAGACGTGCTCATCCGCGGCTACGAGGACTACCGCCACCCTTTCGTGTGGAGACCGGAGGCTGACCGCGAGGACCTGGACTTACCCACCACCTTCCACAAACTGGACAGTAAGAAGTGTGAGTACCCCTTTCCCGATGGCCCCGGTGGGGACTCCCATTCTGGCCCTGGTATGGGCATCGGAACAGGTATAGGGCTGGGTCTAGGCAAGGACACAGCCATCAAGACTCAGCCTTCGCCCCTGCTGAAGGCCAAGAAGAGTCGACGACGACGAGAGGACGGCGAGCGTTCTCGCTGCATCTACTGTCGGGAGATGTTCAACCACGAAAACAACTGGCGGGGGCAGTGCCAAGACGCTCCCGACCCGATCAAGCAGTGCATCTACAAAGTCAGCTGCATGCTGTGTGCAGAGAGCATGCTGTACCACTGCATGTCCGACTCTGAGGGCGACTTCTCCGACCCCTGCTCATGTGACACATCTGACGAGCAGTTCTGCCTACGCTGGCTAGCCCTGGTGGCGCTCTCCTTCATTGCGCCCTGCATGTGCTGCTACCTGCCTCTGCGCGCCTGCCACCACTGTGGCGAGGCCTGTCACTGCTGCGGGGGCAAGCACAAGGCTGCGGGGTGACCCGATGCCGGACTCTGGGACACCCTCAAAGCTAGCTAACACAGGAAGTGGATAAAAGCGGAAAATTAAAAAGCCGGCATCCTTTTTTCATTCCCCTCTCAGACGGGGTGATGTGTTGTTGATCCCCAACTCTGAGGGCTTTTGGAGATTTCAGTTTGTGTTTGTCGCTGACAAGCAGCAGTGGAGGACAAACCATATGCTTTGTGGGGGCTCTGAGCATTAAGCTAAGTTCAGGAGCTTAATCTGAGGAGAAGAGAAGGAGGAAACATCCAGATTAATAGACTTGGAGATGTTACTAAACACACTTGTATACGCGCACACAAACACAAACCCTTCTCTCACATTCACACCCATGCATTGACAAAGTCAAGCCACAACTGTCAGAACTCTCCTGCAAGTAATGTGTAACTTTATGAAGGAAAATTGTCTTTTGTACAGAGAGTGACAACTTAATGACAAAAAAGGAAAAAAACTATTCTGAGTTCAGAGAAATAGTGGCTGTTTGAGTATGCTAAAAGGGATATGTTCTAGCTTTTTTTGTGAATTTGCAGTTGGGTAACAGTGGCCTTTCCTTCATGGCTTAAGCATTTGCTGACAATGTAATTACTAGACAGAGAAAAGTGCACTATAAATGGTATTTCCCCCCCTGAGTAAAGGTAACCCTCTCAAATTCTTGTGGTACATTAAGCACCATATTTAGTGTAATTTTAACAACTGAGAGATGGTGCTGTGGTGGATTCATTACCAGTTTGATTTCCCTGTTTTCATTTCCATTGAACTTTGGCAAAAAATCAAAAAGTAACAGCTTGTTTTGACAGCGTTAAAAAGATTACCTTGCTTCCCTGAGGTGATTTAGCAACTATTTGATTGCATTCCAGAATAAAGGGATCAGTGCCATGAATAAAAGGGGAAAATGGTAATGACTTTACCATGCTGACTTTCCCCAAATAGTTTGTCCACATCACAAAAATAGCATAGAACCTCTTGAGCCATTTAAATTTAAACCAATCCACAACGATTTCATTTACTCCAGCGAATCTCAGTTTTAGTCCAATTATTTACTGCTGTAGTGAAACTGGTGTTTTTGTTTCCTCATTGTTAATTTCCTGCTCATTGTGTAATTAATTTTGAAACAAAGGCTGCAATGTTACTCAACCAGCAAGTTTTGTTTTGGTGAGTTGAAGGGGTTAAGGTGCTCCTTGGTTGAATGATGAGGCACTTAAATTAGGCTATTCTTTGGTCGAGAAACCCTCCGATTTTGGAATGACTCTGTACATAAATTTTTACTAATTTAACATCCAGTTTGCTGTAGGGGGAAACTCCTACTGAAAGCACTGCTCTCCAAGCTTTGGTTGCAGCACCCTCTCCAAATTTCTGTTTGTCCCATGAATTCATTTTTATTTGTGTTTTTTCTTTCCCCCGTTTCCCCCCCAAATCTTGTGTAAATTTAGTATTCCGTTGCTTTTTGAAATTTATTCCACTCCATCCATATGTCTTCATTTAACAGGCCTTGAGTGAATGAATGCATTGTTTTAGGAATGCTGAGTATCTTAGCGATTAAAAAAACAAACATACAGATGCCACGTTCGTGCGTATGTCTCGATATGCACTGGAGATCTGATGTCATGCAACGTCAGCACTGACTTAAGGTTTTGACTCGTAACAATATAAACCAGTGTCCTGTTACCCAAAGCATCCTGATGCCTTTGTCTGTTGGCTCCTGAAGCGAACAAAGAGTTGATCAAACTGTCAAAGGAATAATTTTGGAAATTATTATTGTTGTTGAATGAAAACACTGATACTACTGTCCTACCTGAATGTTCTATATGAAACTGAAGCCAGCAGTCATTTAGCCTAGCTTAGCATAAAAAGTGGAACTGGGTGAACAACTAGCCTTGCCTTGTCCTCAGGGAACAAACTGCATACCTTGACATATAAAGCTCATTAATGAATATGTTGTGTCCTGTTTGTTTAATTTATGCAAAAACCAAACTGTACAAATGGCAGTTTGTGATTTTGCTGGAGGGTTCTGCCACTGCAGTTGGTGCATTTACACTTGTTTTTTTTTTTTGTTTGTTTTTATTAAAGAAATGAAATGTAGTTAGTAAGGTTGGAAGAGCTGGTACAGTAGGTGGATTTTGCTAGCTTTGGACAGAGCCATCCTAGCAGTTTCCTTCTGTTTCCAGTCTAAGCTAAGCTTTTCCAGCTGCTGGCTTTAGCCTCATATTCACTGTATTGACGTGACAGCGGTATCCATCATGATTTGTAACTCACGGAAAGATGGAAAATAAGCATAATTCCCCAAATGTCAGACCACTCCTTTAAGATCTCTTGGCAAACGGGGAGACGGAAGCGTGTAAAGCTGAGTCGAGCTGTGTTTGAAACCCATTTCTCGCTCACAGAACTGTTGATGATTCAAACCTTTCCGAACATAAATGCTTAAATTAGAACTAACTCCATACAGGAATAACTATTCATTTCCAATGTCTGGCTACAAAAACCGAAATGATCCCTAAGTCACTGACATGTTTGAGATTTGTGCTAATTGTGATACACCTCGGTATCGAACAGCTGATGTGGTACAACGTCCATTGCTAACAGATAGGCATCTCTTCCCACCTCCTGTCCCTCCATCCAGGACAAAAAAAAAGTAGTATCATTACAGTCAGAACATGACTGCGGAATAATTCCACCTTGAACAATGTCCCTTTATTTTCTATGCAAACTTTCTGATGTGAAAAACACATTGACCTTCTCACAGACCGAGTCGGTGACGGGACAGGACACTTTAACTGACACCTGGTACCAAACTCCAAAAACCTGTAAATACTTAACACTATATTTAAGTACTAATAATAATCCCAGCTTTTGTCTCTGAAATTTGAAAGATAGAGCTGTATTTATCATTGCTGTCAACATATACTGTAGCTTCAATTGACAGCATTATGTACATAGGTCACCTTTTAGTATTATTTCACATTGAAAAGTAGAGGGCGTTTGTGATGGAAATGACTATTGCTTCTAATAGAGTTTGTCTCTAGTTTTGTATGGTAGAAGGAAGGATAGTGCAAACACGGTACAATAGTGGCTTGCTTCAGAAGTTTGATATAAATATATATATATATGTGTGTGTGTGTGTGTGTGTATGTATATATATATGTTTTTTTTTATATATATATATAAAGCTGCTAGATACAATCACTAATTTTATTGTATTGACAGAGAAAATCAGCTATGAACGACTGTTAATTCTTAATTCTCCAAAAGCATATAACCCATAAGATTTTAAAAGTTTCAGTGCTCTGTGAAGTGGGCACTTGTGCATGTGTGTGGGTGCGCGAGTGTCACTTTAAACATGCATTCTTGTGTAAACCGTGAGTGTGTGTGTGTGTGTGTGTGTGTGTGTATTTGCAGCGTGCATGCGGGGTTGGTGTGTAACCAAATGTTTGGTTGGTTGTCATATTCTCCCATTGGAATTGGATTTGCCCTGCATTGTCGCAAGCTGAACCAAGGTTTGATGAACCTGATTAAAACTTGCTGGCTGAGAAGCAAAATGTAGGACATGCATTTATACAAAGTCTAGAGAATCCTGAAATAACACTTCTCATTCTGCATTAACCAGCACAGTGCAACTTCCTGTCATGTACTGTATTATATATGCAACGTCTGTCTGCTTTAATATATATATA